TTTATGCACCAAGAGCTTGTAACACTCCAAAGAGAAAGGAAAACTTGAAATCGCATCATATGACCCCTTTAAGTTTGTGGATGATACTACTGTGGTGGGACTGACACATAACAACGACGAGTCCGCTTACAGAGATGAGATCCAAAAACTCACTGCCTGGTGCTTGGATAACAACTTGATACTCAACTCTTCAAAAACAAAGGAGTTGGTGATAGAGTTTAGAAGGAAAAGGGAAGAGCATGCCCCTATTTATATCACAGGGGAAACTGTGGAGAAGGTCAGTGATTTTAAATTCTTGGGAACTTGCATCTCTCAGGATCTCACATGGTCTGCCAACACCAATGCCCTTGTAAAAAAAGCACAACAGAGGTTCTTGAGGTCACTGAGGAGAGTCAACTTGTCACAGGAATTGCTGCTGTCCTTTTACAAATGCTCCGTGGAGAGTATTATCACTTACAACATCATGGTGTGGTTTAAAAGCTGCACTATGACTGATAAGAATGCTCTGGAGAGAGTGAGGAAGTCAGCACAGAACATTATAAGAACACAGCTTCCTTCACTGACCGACATATATAGAGGCTGATGCTTGTGTCGCATGGCACGCATAATTAGGGCCCAAGCCAGTAAGGCGCCCCCTGGAACACAGTCTGAAAACTTGATTTATAGCTCACACATGCTTGCACATATTCATATGAAACTTGGTACACGTATAGATCTCATTGAGCCGAACAAATTTTGCGCTGCATGTCATAGGCTCCGCCCAACAGGAAGTTGGCTATTCAGGACTGTTTAAAAAGTGCATGCTCTGGCAGTAATTTTCTCATATCTTTTAAAGTTCGTTATCCTAACTAACTCTTCAAAACTTTTTAGATATGGAGAACAAGTCATTCTTAGGAAACATGCTAAGTGTCATAATTTAATCATGCTCAGGGGCCACTAAAAATGTGCCCACTGTGCACTGTTCCCCTGATGCCTCCGGGGTGGCGTTTGCACTGATGGCTTGGGCCCGCCATCGCTGCTTGCAGCTATATTTCAATATTGTTCCCTGTTCACATTGCTACCTTCTGGGAGGCATTACAGGGTTATTCAGGCTCGCACCTCCAGGCTTAAGAACAGTTTTTATCCAAGTGCAATTAGAGAACTAAATGCATAAATTACACAAAGGACTTTTTCAAACACTATGGAACTATGCAATATTTACATATGTGCAATGCATACATACAGTTTTTTTCTGTGGTGTATTGTTTGATGTATTTATAAATCTTTCTTTGTATGTTTTTTTTTACCACAAGGAGTTGCAAATTGAATCTCGTTGTACAAATTGTGCAATGACAAAGTATTCATTGATTCATTTTTGGAAAACTGTCCTCCTTGAATTTTTTTTTTTACAGTTCCATTAGGTGTCCCTTGTACAACAGTCATGATTTGAGTTGTAACCCAAGCTTTTCATGTTCCCCCAGTTCGGACTCCAGAGACTCTAGAGATTCCAAAGAGTCTTCTGCTAAAGGTGACATTGAGACAGACGAGGCCACACTCATAAGAAGACAAAAACAGATCAATTATGGGAAAAACACTCTCGCATATGACGGATACATTAAAGAAGTTCCCAAGTGAGTGAGATCATGATTATTGTTTTAAACTAAATGTATTATACTGCTATGACCTATTGTCTATGATTTACAGCCTTATATAATCTTAGTTAAAGTATTTAACATTATTTTTAACCATTATTTTAGGCATATGAGACAGCCTGGTGTTCATCCAAAGACTCCAAACAAATTCAAGAAGTACAGCCGACGCTCCTGGGACCAGCAGATTAAACTGTGGCGGGTCAAACTTCACGCGTGGGATCCTCCTGCAGAAGAGGGAAGCGATGTGCAGCAGATGTAAGCTTTATGATGTCCAAATAAACTAAACCGTTTTAATTTCCTAAAGGAATGATAATTTTTTTACGAATAGTTGAGCATAGTGGCAACACAAAAAAAAAAAACTCTAAAACCACAATTAATCATTATGTATTTCATTGTTCATTTAACTCCTGCTGTGATTGTAACAGAGAAGTGATTGACCTTGGTGAAATAATGGACTTTGAGTTGGATGTGGAGTGTTCAGCGGATACTGAATCCAAGTGTCCAACATCCAGTGGAGCATCGCTGTCTTTGGCAGAGGTAATTTTCACAATTTATTACCCCTTTCCAAGCAAGATCAGTCTCACATGGATTTCACAATATTTGTATATATTTATTTTTTAATGACTGATTTTTGTGGTGACTTTTGTCAATCACACTTACCATATTATGTATTAGGCTCAAGCGGCAACTAGGGATGTGCGATTAATCGAAATCGCGATTTGAGACGTTGCAATTTCCTAATCGCAAAGCCTGCAATGTGGACGCGATATTACTCTGTTCCAGAGCATATGCATGACTGCCAGCCTTGAGTTGCAATCTTACTTGCCCTGGGCAAGAGTGAGCGCACCTCCGTTCTCCCCAATCAGCACTGCTCTAGCCAACTGCAAAAAAAAAAACGGAACGGGGGACAGGAGAGAGACAGAGTGGGATTATGGCGTCTACTGGGTCAGATCGATAGTTAGGCAAATTAAAACTAAAGAAAACCGTATGCAACTTAAGCTTCGAAATGACAGACAACAAACAAAAAATGTAATTTGCAAGAGCTGCGTCACAGCGCATATCAAAAGCTCCCTTATCGGTTCTGTTTTCAGTACTGGAGAATAAAAGATACATTCTTAGATGTTTTTGTTAGTACGTGAACGTTATCTTACACATTTTATCTCCCCAACAGATTAATTTGAAATAAGTTTATAATGCATGTTGGCTATTCCCAATTCAGAAGAGCGCACACACAGCCTGTGTCTGTGAATGCTTCTCATACTCGCTCCTCTCTGCCTCACGCGGCGCGAATCCCGCGTCACGTTCATGCTTGCCGCACTCACGCAGCCTGTCTCGTAATGCTCGTTTATACTCGCACCCGGTTCCGCACCGCAAGTCTTCACGAGCACATCTGGCAGTATGGATGAGGCTTGACACACGCGCACAACCTGTGTCGACTCGCACCTGGCTCCGTGTTTAAAACGAATCTAAATTCAGTCTAACTGCTTGCTAATTTCACGTGGATGAAATTAAACATTCAGCACATTTTCCACTTGCTCTTAAAACCCCAAATACTTAAAATGAATAAATCAATGTAATACTTTAATAATTGACTTAAGAAATACAGTTCTTTATTTATAAAAAACAAACAAATATTTTCTGTGAAATTCAGTAATTAAGTTAATTCTGTAAAAGTAGTTATACCATTATAATCTTGCCTGCTGAAAAAAAAAAAAAAACAATAGAACCCCTCCCAAAACACAATAAAAAATTTAATGGATTTCAGGGTTAATGGCAGATGATAGAACAACAGTAATTCCTATTGGAATAATGCCCAAAACAAAAAGGAATTTTGTAATGGGTAATGGTTAACTATAATTTCTGTGATGGTTTCTATAGTTTTATTCAGCAGGGTAATGATACCCATACTGTGCTGCACATTATTGACAATATTGAGCTGAAGCTTGACTTTGCAAATTTAAAATCGCAAATCAAATCGCAATCGCAATATCTGTCAAAAAAATCGCAATTTGATATTTTCCCCCAAATCGCACAGCCCTACTATAAAGTAATTGTATTTGTATTTAATAATTCCCTTTCATTTCTTTCATTTTCAGTATTATCACACTTTATTATTTAGTTTATTAATTTTATTTAAAAAATCTAGATAAATAAGATAAATAATTATTATTATCAGTCTTATTAATTTATTTTATTTATAGTTATATTTAATGGGTAACAGTATATGCTGTGTGAGGACCAAACCAAATCTCCAGGTTCTCATATGAGAACCAGGCTGAAAAACTTATGTGCACCCATGTATATATATATATATATAGGAAGAAGTCTGTCCAGCTTTGGTCTAAAAGCAAAAATTGTATGGTATCTACTACGGGTGTGCGATATATATCGTCTGCGATAATATCGTAATTGTTGTTTTAACGATGTGCGATTTGACATTATCGAGT